CAGGCCTCGTTTGCGGGCTCGGCCTCGGCGCTCGGCTGCGTCCCGGGCAGTTCCGGGGCCAGAGCGCGAGGCCACGCGGAAGATTCCGGTTCAGTTCCGGCTGGAAGGCGAGCGCGCGCCGCTTCCGCTGTCTCTGTCAATGGGAGGGGGACATGCAGGGGCCCCCCGGGCGCCTTCGCCCCTTCTGGGCTCCGGAGTTCCCCGGTCCTGGGAGCGTCTGTGTGGAGGTGGAGCGTTTGGGGGGCCGGTCAGCAGGCCACGGTCTGCGAATTTCCTTCCAGGACAGGCCAGCTGAGCGCTTAGGTCCGGTAGCTACAGGGCGTGATGGGAGGCGCTGGATGCGGGGAAGTGCAGGAGCAGCATCTGGCAAAGTCTTGCTCAAGTGGACAGGAAATCGAGAAGAGGTTTTATCTCTAGAAGGGATGACTTATCCAGCTGAGTTTGACAGGAATATTTTCCACACCCATGGAATGATGTCCAGGTTCTAAAGACAAAACTGATATTTTGATTTTCTCAAGCAGAAAAAGAAAGTAGTCCCGGAGGTTGCGCTTTCCGTAACCTAAAAGCTGCACAGAGGGACTGAAGTAGCTGTCTTTCTGAATCTTTACCACCCAGGGCAACCGTTTCTTCCAGGACCCGTGTGGGTTGGTGCCCCCATATGTGTGGCAGTAATAGCGCCTTGCATGTGGCAGTTATTGAATTTCTCTGATCAGTAAGAAGCAAAACTCGAAGAACCATCCCCAGGGCTCCTGTAGTGAATGGGCAGTGTCATAAACTAAGTCAATAAACAATATTGGAAGTGAATCAGCTGGGTACAGGTTGTTAAATGACTTGACCGTATCTCTAAAGATCTTTGCCAAGTACACTTTGGATGGTGAGACTCCAAAGGCCATGGAGAAAGAATGACTTTGCTTCCTGCGTAAAGAAGAGACGCTTTTCCTTGGGTCCCATGTAATTTGTAGTCCTGTGTGACTCGGGCCAGGAGCAGTCCAGAAAGCCCTTTGTAAAGAATAAGCTGATTTTTTTCCTTCTATTTCAAGTTGTCAAAACTCGTCCTTCAGGACAGGAGAGTGGGGCTTTCTTTCGTTTGTACTACAAATCGATCAAGAGATGGTTGTTTTGATTGTAAAGGTCAGAAGATAGTTTGAGCACCTACTGTGCACCGTGCACTGCACTGGCCATTGCTGTTGCAAAGGTGAATTTCAGATGACAGCTCCTTCTCTCAAGAAGCTTACACAACAGGGACAGCCATTTCATACATGGCAGCATTCTTGGGATATTACTGGAGCACTGAGGAGTCACCCAACCCCGCTTTCTGGAGTCAGTGGCTGGCTGGGTCTTAAAAGATGAATAGGGGTTACCTTGGTGAAGGAGGGAGTGGAGCAGCAGCAGTGAAGGAAATCGGTAGTGTTTCTGCTGAGTAGTGTTCTCAGGAGTGTTACAGGGGACTCAGGCCACCCCAAGCCTTTTGTGTCTGAGCTTGGCCTTGAGCTTGATGCCAGGGGTCTAAACTTGGGACCTGTGGCGTCTGAGGCAAGTTGTATCGGTGAGTGAAGTGAGCTGGGTTCTGGACTGGAGTGGGTGGTGGAGGGTGAAGTGGACAACTGGTTACATGCCCCTTGTGAAGAGTGTACTCGCCATTCGGCTCCGCTGGTGGATACTATATGGCAGGCAAGACACAGGATTGCCAGGTCTGCCTTTTTAAAAGTCAGAATCCGTACTTTTATTATGTCAAATAATTCAAAACTTTTTTTAAAAGGGCCCCTCATGGGCTAAACAAACCCCATTTATAAGTTGGATTATGCCCCCAGGCCACTGGTAGCAACATTTGCGGTATGAATGAGGGAGAGCCATTGAAGGATTTTAGACATAAATGCTAATCACTGTAGCTGGTATCTAAGGATGAATGATAGGCTCAGACCTGGAGGCAGAGGTACCAGTTAAGTTATTGCAGAAGTGTGGGCAGAAAATGTTGAGGGCCTGAGCTAGGGCAGTGGTAGCAGGAATAGAGAGCAAAAGCTAAGTTGGGGGAGTGTTTATGAGATAAAGTAGGCCTGTCTTGGGTGGTAGGTGATGGAGGTGAGGTGACTGCAAGGAGCCATGGCTTGGGTGACTGGATGGCGTCACCAACAGCCGAGGTAGATAGTGCAGGAAGAGTTGGTGAGAAGCAGAGAGGAATGTGTCTGGTTTAGGGAGGCTGGGGTGGCATGTATGCTGGACGTCCCAGTGGACATGACCTTTAGACCGTTGGGTATGTGGATCTAGCTCTCAGAGGAGGGATCTAGGCTGTGGGTTTTATTGTTGATCTGGGCTGTTATTTATAGTTATTGTTGAAACTATGTTGGGAAGAATGGAGGGGTTTTCAGGAAAGAGCTGCCTGTCCTGTTTTTCTTTCATTCCTAACCACTTGTTCATTTAACACAATCGCTTCCCACAGCATTTTTATTCTTGGTTCAGGGCAGACATCTAATAATTGATACATTATTTTGTTTAATTGTGGAAAGGGTTGTGAAGAAGAATGGGTCCCAGAGACCACATAAGGGAGGGCCTGGCCTGGTATGGGGTATGGTAGAAGACTTCCTGAGGAAAGGACTTTTGAACGAGGCTTTGAAGGGTAAGAAGGAACTAATGAGGTAAAAAGAAAGTGACAGGGAAGGTCTTTTATGTAAGTTTTCCGGTGGAAGGAGTATTATGAGGGCAGGAAGAAGTACCATGCTTTGACGGAGATGAAAGAAGGGTTCTAGAGCGGTGGGTGGCCCTGATGATGGAGGGTCCTATGAGCTGCAGTAAGAACTGGTCTGCTGTAAGTGCACAGGGGTGAACCATCACCACGTAGGGCGAGGGCTGGTTGTTTTACCAGAAGTACCTTCACATAGACACCAGCTGCAGGTACACAGCCAGGTCCTGTGTTGGAGCAGCATAGTGGTGCAGTGGGTATTGCTGGCCCTTGGATGGGACACCGGTCGCAAGGACATTCTGGAGCCTCACATCAGTTACAGGGAGGAGATACATGGGTAAGGGTTTAAGCAAATGAGTGATGTGATCAGTTACGCTTTTAAAAAATAATCACTCTGGTCACAGGGAGGATGGTAAGGATTGGAATTATATGTTTTCCAGGGTTAAGCTATACTCTTAAACAGCAGAGAAAAATTTTTTAAACATTTTTCTATATTTTTCATTTTAGAAATCGGGACCTTTGATATATAGGAAAGTTATGTTTAATTCCACTGATATCAAGTTTTCTGGTAAGTTTTATAAACTAACAATACTAATATAACAATATATCACAAATGAGTAATGTAATATAAACTAATACATTACTTGAATGTAAGCTAATATAGCATGGTATTATATTTTATAAAACAGGCAAATGCTTTGTTTTTAAGTGGTTCTAACATTTTAAGGGTTTCTTTTGTTTCCATCAAGTCTTGCTTATTTTCAAGAATAGTTTTTTCTGTCTCAGAAAATGTAATATGATCATTCTTTAAAAATTATAATTAAAGTCTAATAAAGTAGGCTTTAGCAAAAGAGTATTTGACTTCCCTGAAATTTGACTCTAGATCTTAGCTTTTAAAAGTAGATAAATTCCTTTTATGAGTATATGAAATATCACTATTGTGATAAAATATTTATGCCCCTCAAAATTTTCTATATATACATATGATCATAGCATAAATAAAAATTACAAGACACTAACATTTTAATTAAGATTTTAGGGCTTATGAAAGTGAAAATATCTGTTAGGGACAATGTTGTCCATGTAAATACTGCTGTGCGAGGATGACCAAGTCATAGATCTTGAGGTTTTCAATATCTTTAATGGGTTTACATTAGATCATATTTACTGTGGTCCAGCTCGCCTTAGTGTTTCCAGTAACTTGACTGGGTAAGTTGTTTGCCAGGGTTAAAGTTTTGGGAGTAATTTTTTGTTGAGTAACAGATTGGCTTCCTGGGGATCCAAAGCCATGACCCTTTTCTCTGTCACCTGATGCTCTGGTCACTTGTCGGGTGAGTCTGCCATATGTGGGTCTTCACTAGGGAAGTGGGCCAGCCATTAGCTAGAACAGCTAGAAAGAGGTGGTTCAAAGCAGTTCTGTAATATCCGATCATCAGTGGTGATAAGAGTTGGCAAGAGGAAATTGACATCCAAGGTGGGTGAGGAAAACATTTTGGCATCTGATTGCTTTAATGAATTCATGCCTCAGTGTCTAGACAAATAAGATTTAAAAGACCGATGCAGACAAAGAAGTTATGTGTGGGGGAAACTTATATGGACCAGTGAAACATAGAATTTTATTTTTTTAAATGTCAGTACATAATTTCAGAGACAAGCATATACCACAGTCAAGACATCTAAAGAAAGAATGCGCATCAGAAGGAGTTAGGAGCAGAAGCATAAGAAAATGAGGGTTTAGTCAGGCAGATGCTGGCAGTGTCCGATGGTTTCAAGGGGTAGAGATTTGGGTGGACTCTGACTACAGCTGTGACACGTAGCTGGCAGGTGTGGATGTGTAGCATCCACCTGAGTCTCCTTGTTCTGGTTCCATGCCCACCAAGCAGCCTTCTCATCCCCGTTGGGCACCCAGGAAGGCATGCTGAAGGGAGAGGGTTGATAATTACCCATCCATTTTCAGTTACTGTTCGTTTTAAGTGAGTTGTTGGGCATTCTAGTTTATACATTTACATCGGTGGTGTGGTGAAGGTGTGAGACTGAGTCTCTGTGTTCTCACAGAGCCAGAATTTTGTGCCTGCAAGCTAAGAGTTGGTTCCTTGGGTATGTGACCATGCTGTTTGGTGGATCAGTCTTCTGGCTTCCCTTAGGTGACCACTCTTGCAGCCTCATTTAAGATGCAGTCATGTGGAGCCACTGTTGTAAATCTCTCAGTGTAATTCAGCATATTAACAGAATAAAAGACATACACCATATAATCATCTCAATATATACAGAAAAGCATTAGAAAAAACTCAACACTAATTCATGATAAAAACTCTCAGAAAACTAGAAAAACTACCTCAATCTGATAAAGGGCATTTATGAAAAATCTATAGCTAACATACTGAGATTGGCCTATAAATTCAATTAATTCCAATCAAAATCCAAGTCAACATTTATGTAGGAATCAACTAGCTGTTTCTAATACCTATATGTAAATACAAAGGGCCTAGAATAGCCAGAACAGTTTTGAAAAAGAGCGAAGTTGAAGGGATTTTACTATCCAGTTTCAAAATTGACATAAAGCTACATTGATTTATGCCAGTGTGGTACTGGCATAAGGATAGACATATAGAGCAAGGAATCAGACTAGAGAGCCCAGAAATAACCCCACATGCATAAGGTCAGTGGATTTTCAACAAAGGTGCAAAGGTAATTCATTAGAGAAATGACTGTCTTTTCAGCAAATGATGCTGGAACAACTGGATATCCACGCTGAAACGCCTCTCAACTCTGACCTTGGATCATGGGCTTAGACGCTCTGTTCCCACCTCTGCCCTCCCCTCCTGGGGTCCTATTTACACGTGTTAGGCTACTGATACTGTCTCATAGGTCACTGAAGCCCTGTTAATTTTTTTCAGTCTCTTTTCTTTCCATGCTTCATTTTGGATGTTTCTGTTGCTTTGTCTTCAGTTTCAGTGATCTTTTTCTCCTGCAGTATCTAATCTGCTGTTAATCTCATAAAATGAACTTTTTATTTGTGATACTGTATTTTTCCATCTCTAGCAGTTTGGTTCTTTTTTAAAGTATTTTATTTCTCTTATCAGTATTTTCATATTTTTCTTTACATATTTGAGTATATGGAACATACTTATAATAGCTCTTTTTATACCTTTATCTGCTAATTCTGTCATTTTTGTCATTTCCATCATCTTTGTTGTATCGACTGATTCGTATCATGGTTATGAGTCTCATTGTCCTGTTTTTTATATCTAGTAGTTTTGTTTGGATGGTGGATATTGTGAATTTTGCTTTCTTGAGTGCTGTGATGTTGTATTCCTTTAACAACTTTGTTCTGGCAGACAGTTAAGTTTCTTTTGGGTCAGTTCTATCCTTTCCAATTATATTTTTAATTCTTTTAGAATGGATCTGGAGTAGCCTTTACTCCACGGTTGACTTAGCACCACTTCTCAGGTGTGACCCTTCTATGTCTCTCCCCAGTGCTTGGTATATTGAATGAGGCCTCTGAACTCTGGCTCGTGGAAACTCAAAGCAGTTCCAGCCCTGTGTGAACTCAGAATTGTGGGGCTTCTCCCTATGCATGGGCAGGCTGCTATGCAGCCAGGGACTCAAGGGGTATCTGTGCAGAGTTCTTTTACTGTTTTTCTGTGTAGCTCCCAGCTCTTGGGTGCTCTGCCGCAGGAATTCTACCAACCTCAGCCTCTGGAAGTCAGTTTCTGGTCTCAGTTTGGGTTCCCTTTGGTTACCTTCAGGATGGCTCACAGTGGTCCCTGCCTCCTGGTATTTATGACCTGTGTAGTCCCTGCATTATTATATGAAGGTTGATCTGACCAGTAAAATATGGCAGAAGTAATGGCATATCACCTACGACACTAGGTCATAAAAGATACTGGCTTCTTTGCCCTCTCTGTCTGGTGACTTGCTGCCATGTTGTGACAACACTCCCAAAAGAACTTTGTCTTATTCTAGACTTAATTCTTTTCAGTCTGTGTAATCTTGTTACCCTCCTTCTGTTACCCTCCTTCTGGAAACATTTAGTGGTCCTTTGTAATATTCAAAATAAAGGAAAACTCCCTAGCAGAGCATAAGAGCTCTTACGAATTTTCTCCAGCTTCCCCAGCCTGTGTTCTAAGCATAGCGCACTATTTTCAGATGGGCCTGCTCATGCCATGCACTCACTTTTCCTGGGCATTTGCTTGTACTCTCCCACCCCCTCCTCACCTGGCTAACTCCTGCTCCTCTACGTTGCGGGCCTTCTCCAGCAAGCCTGCCAGCACCCCATTCTTCATGCTCCCGTGGGGCCTTTGTAATTGTTAACCCTCTGTCTCCTCAATACCTCTTATGTAAAGGACAGGGACTGTTCCAGATTTCCCATTATGTCCCTTGGCACACAAGCGGCGCTTGCTCAGTATGCTTTGAATGATCCAGTGAAGAGAACATTTTAGAGTGAAGTAAGCAGTGTCAACATGTCTCCCCCCTCGGTTGATTCTAACACTGGACTTTACATATAGATGAAATGAGCAGTAATATAGCAACTTTTGGTTAACTGTGGTAATTTAATTTAATGAATTTACCTGTTTCATTTGGGAGTGACTTTTGGAGAAATTAAGTAATGTTTTACTCATTGTTTCATTGAAGTAGCCTATTTTAAATTACATTCGTAAAACCTGAAGTTTACATTGGATTACATATGTTACTGAAAAATGACACTTTCTTTTCCTAAACAGTTAATTCATTCCATTGTTCCGGGCCTATGAAGTTTACCATAGAGTGGTATTTGAAGCATTATACCTGTCAAAATGAATATTCTAAGCTGGATGTAAGTAAAACATAATTTTAAAAAATTATATTTATTGACATAATATTGGTTGATAACATTATATAAATTTCAGGTATACAACATTATAATTTGATATTTGTGTACTCTATTGTGTGTTCACCACCCAAAGTCTGGTCTCCTTCCGTCACCATATATTTGACCCCCTTTACTCAGTTTACCCTCCTCCCACTCTCCTCCCTCTCTGGTAACCACCATATTGTTGTCTGTCTGAGTTTGTTTTTGTTTTGTTAGTTCGTTACTTTTTGTTTTTTATTCCACATATGAGTGAAATCATACAGTTTTTTTGTCTGACTTATTTCACTTAGCATAATACTCTCAAGATCCATTCATGTTGTTGCAAATGGCAGTATTTAATTCTTTTTCATGGCTGAGTAGTATTCCATTGTATATGTACGACATTGTCTTTCTCAGATCATTCATCGAAGGACACTAGGTTGTTTCCATATCTTGGCTATTGTGAATAATGGTGCAATGAACAAAGGGGTGCATATATCTTTATGAATTATTGTTTTCACATTTTTTGTCAAATTGCCCAGAAGAAGACATATTGTGGCTCTGTTCTTAATTTTTTGAGGAACCTCCATGCTGTTTTCTGTGGTGGCTGCACCAGTTTAATCCCATTAACAGTGCATGAGGGTTCCCTTTTCTCCACATCCTCGCCAAAATTTGTGCCTTTTTTTCTTTAATGCTCACCCAAGGATATTCTTTCCATTGCTTTTCAGAGAGAGAGAGAGAGAGAGAGAGGGAGAAACATCAGTGTGAGAGAGACACATTGACTGGTTGCCTCCCTCATGCACCCTGACCGGAGCCAGGGATCGAGCCTACAACAGGCCGGAATCGAACCTTGGACCCTTCAGTCCTCGGGTTGACGCTCTAACCGCAGCCAAACTGGCAGGGTGTGTCCTGTCTTTTTTATAATAGCTAGTGTAACAGGTATGCTGTGATATCCCATTAACAGATTTTCAATGTATGTAAAGCTATGAAGGAAAATTATGAGTATAAAGATTTATTAGCTCATCAGGTGAGGAGGCTAGAAATACAGTTTGTAGACTTAGAAGTGCCACAGATTTATTTTAGACCTTAGGTAATACATGATTTAATTCTGTCAAAGTACATGCCTTCTGAGAAGAATACAAATCTTTTAGTTTCCTTGTATCTTATGAAAAATGTTAGTAAATGTTTAAATCAGACACGTAGGGTCACATGTAAGCAGAAATCAACTTAAGAAAGAAATGAAAAAGTTTCACTTCATTAAAAAATTAGTAATAGGGCACCTAGAACTTATGTGAGTACAGGTAGATTTAATATGAGCAGATCTCAGAAAGAAGTGAGGAGTGGAAGGAACCATCAGGAAAAGGGGGGGGGGACATAGGGGGAGGGAGGAGCTGTGTGAGAGAGGAAGAGAGGCCAGCCAGGGTTTGTCCTGGCCCTGCAGCCTGGGCCCCTGGGCCCCTCATGCAGGTATTTCTTTCAGTAGTTCTCTCCCACTGCCCCATAGTTCCTTTATAGATCATGATCTGTTGGCTCCTAGTTTTTTGTGTTTTTTTGGTTAATCCTCACCTGAGGATATTTTTTCCATTGATTTTTAGAGTGGAAGGGAGAGGGAAAGAGAGAAACATCAAAGTGAGAGAGAGATGTGGATTGGTTGCCTCCTGCACCTGCCCAGCCAAGGCGGGAGATCGAACCTGCAATCCCATGGCACTCCTGTGTGTAGGCTGACACTCTAACCACCGGCCAGGGCGGCTCCTAGTTTGAATAATGTGTGGGCTTCCATACTTTCACTTATCTTTCCATTTGGGGGTGAAAGGTGTCATTTTCCCTGAGAACAGCCTTTTTGACTCTATCCCTAAATATTTTACCCCTTCACACTAAATACTTTAGTGTGTATTTCCTAAGAACGACGATATTCGTTTAGATTACACAGTCCAGTTATCAAATTCAGGAACTTTAGCATTGATAACAATACTATCATCTAATAAACAGACCTTATTAAAATTTTGCCAGTGTCCCCAGTGTCCCTATAACATCCTGTTTAGTGGATTTTGTTTGTTTGTTTGTTTATTTCTGGTACAGGAGCCAATCTAGGATTGTGCTGCATTTTTGTAGCTTTTTTTTTTTTTTCAGTCTTTCATGATATGACATCAATATATTTGAAGCGTACGAGCCATTTATTTGTACAAAATGTCCCTCACTTTGAGTATTTCTGATGTTTCCTCATGATTAGATTCAGGTTATATTGTGGGCAGGCATACCAGAAAATCCTGGTTTGTCCCATTTTTGATTAGATGGTTGGGGAAGTTTCTGCCAGGTTTCTCCACTGTAAAGATATTACCTTTCTCTTTGTTATTAACAGTGATTTGTGAAAAAACACTTTTCATTTGTATGTAAATACGTCTACCGTTTCCTCATCCACCCTGGTTTTCACATCCTCTGGTTCTTGCCCAATGAATCAGTTATTACTCTGATGTTTGCTACATGACGATTTTCTGATCCATATTTTCTTCTACATTTATTAGCATTTTACTCTGAGAATGAGCTCTCTCTTTTCTTCTGTCTTACCTAGCTGTCAGTCAGTCACCAGTATGGACTCATTGGTTTTTACGGGTTATAATCTATTACTGTTTATACTTATTTTGCTCAAATTGTCCCATATTTGGCTAGTGGAAGCCCACCTTCTCTTCTCTTGATTTCTGGGAGCTGCCATTAAGTTTTATTCCTACATCTAGGAGGAAGAGCCCCAGGTCCTGATGGGTAAATGAGTGTGTCCCCTGCACTCCGTTGGGTTTCACCTTTGCTCTGTGTTGCTAAATGTCTGGTTTGTCTTGCTGGTTAAATGCTGCTTTCTTTTTCTCTAAGATCTTTTATACTTGGGATAAGATGGAAGTAGTCTCAGGACAAAGTATTGTGTATTTTAAAACACCTTAATCACTTTCTTACTGTAAGATTATGGTTGTATTATGTATTACTATCTCTGAGCACATTGGAATGGCTAAAATATTATGATTCCTCAGTTTTACTTAAAATTATATTCAAACGCTTTTTCTTTTCTGTATTTTGTTTTGCATATTTTCAAGTATTCCATACTGAATCAATGTTTAGTATTTATTTAGATATTAAATTTTATTTATCTTCTTGGATAAGAAATGTGGAAATAAATTATAACAATATTTTACCTTGGGTAGGAGCTGCCCCAACAACCTGAACGTGTTGGTGAAGACTTTTGTGGTAATTATTTCAACAACATTGAATGTTGGACAACAAAAAATGTAAACGTAGATTGCAACAGTGACTTACAGGTGTTTCCCCCATTATACGTGAGTACCTGGTTTTGCCATGATGATACAGAATTTATTTTACTCCCAGTGCATACAAGTATCAGCTTAAATTCTGCTTTACCAAAATTTTGATTAAGGTGTTAATTTGTTAATTTTTAGGCTTAGCTCATTGTGACTGTCGTAGTACATAATCTATAAGGTGTTAGCACCGTTGTTCCGTTTCTTTGTACCCCTTTGCAACCATGTCCTTTCATGATCTGTCGTTCTCTCCACTCCATCATTCTACCAAAACAGCCCTAGTCAAGGGTACCAGAGCCCGTGTTGTTCAGTCCAGTGGTCTGCTCCTCTTACCACAATCTGACAGCATTTAACACACGTGAACACACTCTCCTTCTCTATGCACTTGCTCCCTCCCAGGGTGGAAGATCAGATTCTAAAATGTTACCAACAGTCACCCCTGGGTGGTGAGGCTATGGGTCACTTTAACTTATTTTTTGTCCCATAAATTCTGAGATGAAAATATGTCTTTAGTAAAAATTTTAAAGGGATTATTTTAAAAATTTATAAAGTGTAATAAACATATAGTTAAGTATGCATATCAGAAGTATGTAGTTTGATGAGTATTTTAGCACCTAGAGCTCCCTTTAAGTTCCTAGTACCCTCCCCACCAACCATAGCCCCTATTCTGATTAAGGAAGTAATTTTTCCAAAGCAGAATTTTGTTACTCATGTTTGGGCTACAGTGAAATTTATTTTCTGATGTTCAGCTTTTAAATTTCTACTTTTTTCATAGCATATTTTTTTCTTAGTTGTTAAAATTTTCCTCATAGAAATGCAGCAATATAAAATGGAATTATTTTATTCTTTTTTCCAGAATAAAGACCTAATTGCAAATGTCAGAAACGTTTCAAACCAGGAAGAATCAATGGTAAGTCATTTTATTCGTGTTTAAATCAAATATATACAAGCTATAGTAAGACTGAAAGAATCTGCTGATAGAGCACTAGAGAGTGATATAAAGTAGGGTTATTAAAATTGGGAAAGAAAAAATGAACAGTTATTTAAATAGAATATTTTCTTACATATGTCTGTATGAATTGAGTATAGACTTGTTTCTGTCTTTGTTTAAAAACCTCCTTAAAGTTATAATTTAAGGTTAACTTCTATGCAGCTTTTCTTTTTCTTTACAAAATAAAATTTGCTTTCAAATGCCCAAGACAGCATCACTATGGGGTATGTATCGTCATTAAGGATGTAAAGAAATAGGTAGAAACCATGAGTGTAGCATGGAGGGGAGAGAAACTTTGGTATTTTGGGGAATTACTAAGTCAGAAGACCGAGAGGCCAAGAGGGTTGGGTGGAGTTGTGTGTGGGAACGGAGCAGGTTTAGGAGAGCTTAGCGTTTGCTTTTATACCGTGGCTTCACGTTTCTCATTCTCTCTCCCCCATCTGAAAGGGTAGCCTGAGAGTGGACAGGCATCCTCTCTGCAGGAGCAGGCTGCACTAACTGCCGCAGGCTGAGGAGGAGGCAGTGAAGGGAAGGCCAGGAAACAGGAGGGAGGAATGTGAGAAGCTTGGCCCAGTTATATGGGACCTTGAAAGGACCATAGACATCACAGCAGCAGTCATAGTCCCCAGTGGGACTGTAGTAACTCGGTACCTTGGAGAATTTAAATAATTTAACCTGTATACGGATCTTGAGTCATTTCTCACAGTTATCTGACTTCGTCCTCCCACAGTTCGTTTAAAAAACAAACACATTTAAAAACTGAATGCTTGATATTTCAATAAAATAAGAGAAGCAAAACTATCTGAATGGTGATATTAAGTAACACAAAATGGCAACATTAAGGGAAACCTGTAGAAATATAAAAAGTAGAAAACATTAAAGAATGGAAAGGGCCCTGGCTGGTGTGGCTCCGTGGTTAGAGCATCGGCCCGAGCACCAAAGGGTCTCGGGTTCGATTTCCGGTCAAGGGCACTTACATGGGTTTTGGTTCACTCCCGCGTCCAGTTGGGGCTTATGTGGGAGGCAACCAGTTGATGTGCCTCACTCACATCAATGTTTCTCTAACTTCTCCCACCTCTCTCCCTTCCACTCTTTCTAAAAAGCAATGGAAAAAATACCCTCAGGCGAGGATTAACAACAACAACAACAAAAAATTTAAAGAGTGGAAAGGGCTTCTTTTTCCCTCTTCTATCCCTTTGGGTCTAGAAGGATGGTGGTAAAAAAACAGGGGGATTGCTCTGGTCAGTGTGGCTCAGTTCGTTGGAACATCGTCCTGTGCACCAAAAGGTGGCGAGTTCAATTTCCTGTCAGAGAACATACCCAGGTTGCAGGTTTGATCCCTGGTGGGAGCAATGGATCAGTGTTTCTCTCTCTCTCTCTCTCTCTCTTCTCTCTAAAATCAATTTACAAAAAGGGGGATCCTCCCACTGCCCACTATTCCTTTTCTCTGTGTTATCTGTTTGTGTTTTTTAAAAGTAACCCACTTTACTTATTAAAAATTTTTTTTAAATGTGGTAAACAATTGTTTAGCTCTGTGTTATATAGCAATTTTAAAAAATGAAGGATGTTTTTTTTCCTGTTTCAGGATGTTGTAGCAAGAACACAGAAAGATGGGTTTCACATTCTTATTGTTTCAATTAAAACGGAGAAAGCCAATGCAAACTGGAATTTGAATGGTACAGTTAAACTGCATGCATGTTTATTGTCTGCTTACTGTATTCTGTATTTTTGTCATTGGCCCAAATCTGCATTCTCTGTTAAAACACATCATTCAAAACTGAATTTCTGTTAGTCACAAAAGTGAATAATCTGTTTATTTGGGGGACTTAAAACTTTATACTTATATTAGTGGATTGGAAATTTTAAATTAAGTTAAATTAAAAAATTTATGAAATTTATGAATTTTAAATTTCATAAATTTTTTAAGTTAAAAAATTTTAAACTCTTCATCCTTCCAGATTTTTAAAAAAACAAATGGGCAGACAACATCTTAATTGTATTTGAAGTAGATTATATTCTGTTTCTCGAAAATGGCCATCATCAGGATTTGAAAATTGTTCTTTGAAAAGTTTTTTTAAAACATCAATTTATATAAGTGGCACCTGGGGTCTATGAGCTCCCCTTCCCCTGACAAGGTAGCCCCTCTGTGGCTCATTAAGCCGTAGTTCTCTGTGCCCAGGGCAAGAGCATCCTCACAACAGGCAGTTTTCAAGGGAATGAAGACCTTCACACATCCTAGAATTGCTTTCACTGTCGCTTTCCAGAGCAGTGTCTGCTGGGCTGATGGTGGCCAACAGCATGTGAAGGTCCTGAGTATTTGCATTCTGCTCTGGTTCATCCCCTGGGTACACTGAGAGGAAGCCAGGCTCTCCCTCGGAGAGGCTCCCAGTCCAGGGCGGAGGCAGAAGGCAGTGAGGTTAGCAGGCATCACTGCAGAGAGGCACAGAGCTGGTTGGTGTCCAGTGGGGCAAGTTGTTGTCTGGTGGGGAAGCTGGTTGAGGTGGTTGATCTGGAGGAATGTGAAGGAAGGCTTCCTCCCGGAGGTGATATGTGGACCAGGCTATGCCACATAGAGGGAGCAGGGACCTCGAGGCCATTTTGCTACCTTGTCAGTCCCCCTTCCTTCCAGGCTCGTCCCTGCCTTTGACACTAGCAGGCAGGGTTGAGCCTCTGCTAGTTAGAAACTGGAGCAGTTGCTAAGCCCAGCGAGTTCTGCACTGTTCTGGGCACTGTGTTTATTATCACTGTCTAAGACACCAATCCAGACTAGGTGCTTGAGGCCAGTCATTCATCCCAATTACATGAAGGGAGACAAAGTCCTAGGAGGTTAGTGACTCAGCAGGCGCCAGACCACGGCCAGTGGGCTCTGTTCTCTGCATGAGGTGAGATTTGGCCTAGGTTTTACAACAGGTGAAGGTATCTTGATAATGTCACATGATCAAAGAACTAGTAACTATCCAACATCTGTGTGTACTAGGTAAAAATTCAGCATGTTCGCCTGCTTTGTTTTCTTGCAGTCTTCTAGGAAATGAGCTTATATTTAAAACAAGAGAAAACGGATTGTTAACTTAGCTCTTTACTTTCTTTATCCCCACCCTCACTTTCACCAGTTTCTCTTTCTATGATGGGGCCAAAAGGATATCTTTCTGCATCAGACTGGCCTCTCATGATTGTGAGTATGTTTCACCATTTTAAAAAATGAATTTTGTATCCTAATTGGAAAATTAAAAATTCTAAGAGCTCAGTGATGGTGGTTAGTAGCAGTTAGTGCTCTGACATGCCCTCTATGTCCAGAATGACTGGAAAATAAAGGATTGATAGTTGAATGTAGAAATGTCCGTTTTCAAAGATAGAAAGGCTCAAGTGGTTAAAATTGCTTCTCTCCCTACAGTTTTACATGGTGATGTGCATTGTCTATATTTTATATGGCGTGCTCTGGCTGATGTGGTCTGCCTGCTACTGGAAAGATATATTAAGAATCCAGTTCTGGATTGCGGCTGTCATTTTCCTGGGGATGCTTGAGAAAGCAGTTTTTTATGCTGAATACCAAAACATCAACAGCACTGGGCTGTCAGGTAGGCGGGCTTCCCTGGAAACATGATACGGTGCCCAGGGCCTTGGCATCTGAGCAGCGCTGTGGGAGCAGCCACGTTGTGGGTGAAGCGGAGGGAGGCCATGAAGAGACTGAGTGTGGGCCTCTGCCCCGGGCCGGCATGTACGCCTCCATTGTTTATTTTCCTTCTTGCTGACTTTCCCTCACTTTCCTCCTGTTCACCAAGGTTGAGCCACTGTGACCAGATTAAAACAACACAGCATCTGGATGGGGAGTTTTAGGTGCTGCCAGTTTTGTAACATATTTCCCTGTCATCTGTCCATTTTCCCCTCTCCCCCACTACTACTCCTTTCTCCTCCAAAAAAGAAAAGAATATTTGCCCACAGGGAGTAAAATCGGTGGTGCCTGCAGCCTTCTTGCATTGTCCCGCCTCTTATCTTGTGAAAAGGTCTCCTTGTGAAGTTTATGTGCGAAGCAGGGAGGGTGTGTAGTTGGGCATCTGCAGTGTGTGCCCAGACTTCTAGAAGGTAGATGTCAAGAAGCCAGAGAAACCATGGAACAGTTCATTTTGTCGCTGAGCCTTGCAAGGGAGAGAGCCCAGAAGGGCTGAATGTGCTCAGGAGAGGGGTCAGTGGATGAGCCTGGCTCAGATGGTCAGAGGGCATGCATGTGTCTGCTATTAATTTAAAATACTAGAGGGGAAAAACTGAGCTGGAAACAGATGAAACAAATTTGGCATAATGCTGATAATTACTCAAGCTAAATAATAGTACATGGGATTTCACTTACTGCCTTCTCTGTGCTGGGAAATGTTTATCGTTTCCCAAATAAAAAGTTTAAAAACACTCGTACAAAAGAATAAAGAAAGGACAAGAATCCAGGAAGGCATGTGAGAGGTGTTATCACTCTATAAGGAGTTTTAGTGACATTTTTGTGTTTGTGCTCTAACCAAATAAGGAAGGAAGGATGGGGCTGTGGCTAATGGCTGGGATTGAAGCGTTTTTGAATGTTGGAAGAGGCAGGTGGTCATCTCTTATCTGAGAGGGTGGAAGGTGGTGTGGACTCTGGCAAGGGCAGCCAAAACCTGTGATCCATCTGCTGTCCTCCGGGACTTTAAGCTGTCTGTCTGGGGTGACACCAGCAGGGCTGTCAGTGTCTGAGGAGTCCTGTGGAAGAGGAGAGTGCCAGGAGAATGGGCAGGGGCTGATGTGTGATTCTCCCACGTGGGAGTTCTGTCACACTGTCTTGCTCAGCATTGATCCTGGGAGGAGACTTTAAAGGGGTGGAAGCAGTGATTGTTTAAAAGACCTGAGGTGGGCACATTAAGAGTAGGTCATATCAGGATGACTTCTTTCTGTTGTGCTTCTAGGTTGATCGTGGGGAAATGTAGTAAACTGCCTGAGTCTGTACCTCTTCTAGGTACTTGCCAGGTCTTTTGTGATTTCTTGTGGACAAGGTGGAGAAGGGAGTGCAACTAGAATGCGGGGGTGAATTCACACCTGCTTTCTGAAAACTGTCTAATTCTCTCATCTCATTCCTGGATTTCTGGAATAGCCCCCCAGCATTTCCTCCCCTGCAGTTCAGTTCCTGTCTAAGCAACTTTATTTACAGAAGTCCTGTACTTATAAAGTAAAATAAAGCTGCCCATTTTATTTCAAGGGTCAGCACACTATTTCTGTCATATAGTAACTATTTTGGGCTTTGCAGGCCATGCAGTCTGTTGCAGCTGCTCAACTCTGCCCTTGTAACAGGAACACTGTCACAAATGAGTGGGCATGACTGTGTTCCAGTAAAACTTCATTTACAAAAACAGGCATGAGGCAGATTTGGCCCATGGGCTGCAGTTTACTGGTTCCTTTTTTACTCCCTAGTTTACTATTTGACTAGTCACTGCCCTTAGCTTCAAGTCCAGACTCAGAACATGGCTCACAGCCCTATATGACTGCTCCTTCCTGTCCCAGCCTCTTTTCTCTGCAACCTCCTTACGCCCTGCTGCAGACATGCTGATTTGCACTTCTCGGAGCACATTTTGCTTTTCTTCTTGTCTCCCTGTCCTCTCATGTGCCATTTCTTCTACTTACCCTGTCTCTCCCCTAGGTAGTTCACTTTGCTTTGCCTTCAAATCCTGCTTTAGATGTGATTTCCTCTGAGAAACTTATCTGGACCCACATGCACCTCCCCACATGCGGATTAGGTTGTCTTCACAGCCTGGGGAGAGACTCTTTTACCTCTCACTTACCAGGCTGGGTTCCATCTGTTGACTTGTCCTAACCAGAGTACAAGCTCCGCAATTAGGGACCATAGTGTCTCTACTACTGTTGTAGCCACACAGTAGGAGCACACATGAGTAAATGATGAAGACATCCTGAGAAAAGACTCTAGGGAACAAGGGGGAAGATTGACCATGGAGGGAAGTTCAGGTAGACAGATTTCATGCTGGTACAAGAAAGCTGTGCCCAACATCACTGATGGGTTATGGAGTGAATTCTTCAGCAGGTCGTGAATCCCCTTCTCTGAGGTTTCCGGCATCAGTTGAGTTAGATGCCTTTGAGATCAAATATGACTAATCTGCCTGAGGTCAGATGTTGCTGCACATGATACATGTTTAGAATTGGTGGCAGGCCTTCAGATGTACACACAGTGAGCTGATTTCTTTCTTCTCCTCAGTCCAAGGTTTGTTGATATTTGCGGAGTTGATATCTGCGATTAAGAGGACACTGGCCCGCCTCCTGGTGATCATCATGAGCCTGGGATACGGCATTGTGAAGTAAGTCATGGTGTCTTTGGCCCTGCAATCCGTCTTCTCCTCTGTGAGGCTGGACACATCTCAGTATCATCACACAAACCCCATAGGGAAGCTTCTGCGAGAATGCGTTCCTAAGGGATGTCCATGCACTGGCTATTTGATATGGTCCTCAAGTCAAGGTCCTGAATTGAAATTCCAGTAGCTTTGCTTATAGTTCATTGAATAATCATTTTTAAGGATATGGAAAGTTTTAAATGATCCTTGAAGTTAAACCATTTTCTGTTTTGTAAACAGCATAGTTACACTTTTATGACTATTTGGTCATCATAAGAGAAGGAGGACCACCACCAAGTCAGCACGATTTCTAACTGAAATCCTGTCCCCTCAGCACCCACTTCCTCCCGACCCTCTCAAGCAGGTCTCACCTCTCATCCCTGTGAGTCACGGGGCCTGAATATGAAAGAGCTTCTCCTGCTTATCCTCTTCAGACCATTCTTCCTTCTTCCCTAAAATCCTCTGACTCCCTGTAACCCTCTGAAGCCACTCTGCAGGCTTCTCACCTCCTCCCCTAGCTCCCTGAGCACTTGCTTCCCTGTCTCCACCAGGATTCCCTGTGCATTCAGGGTCCCTGTGGCTGATCCTTTAACCTGATCTCACCTCATCACCTCTGCTGTCTTGCCCTTCACCTCACCTGGCCTCAGCTGGGATTCAAGACTTCATGCCTCTGAACAACTGTATGCTCGTTGTCATCACAGTTTTAAACAGTCCACCTTCAGCTGTCACCGCCTCTTTCCTGTTCACTTTCTCTGATATGTCAGCCCCAGTCATCCTTTGAACCTGGTGCGGCCTCTGGCCTTTGACCCTCACCTGCCCCTGGCCTTCCCCATCATGTGCTCACTTCTTCCTTCAGCTCACATTCAGGATCCTGCAGGGCACTGACATCCCTGCAAACCCCTGGGGCCCTTTGCCTGGTTTCCTTACCTCTGCCCTGGTTTCCTGTCTGTTTAGACAGCAGCCGCTAAGGCAATCCTTTTAAAATGTAACTCAGGCCTCATTACTTTTCTGCTCTTTTTACTGAATAAAACCCAAATTCCTCCTGTGGCTTTTCTGATGGTTGGCCTTCTCTCCTGCCTCTTCCCTTTTGAACACTGCTCAGTCCTTTGTCTCGTTGTTGCTGTTCCTTAAACACAGTGGAGGCCTCTTCCCCAGACCCGGGCATGGCATGCCCCCTCCCTTCCGTCAGTCTCTGCTCCTCTGTCGCCTCCCCAGGAAGATAGCCCTGCCAGGGTTCCTAATGTGGTACATGGCGCACACCCTCTGTCACAGAACCCCATTCTACAAGACCACTCAATGAATATGTAGCATTTGCTGTCTTCCTCCGACATGAGTGGAGTAGGAGTTTTGCCTGGTTGTGTACTGTGTACCCTGAGGCCCCAGTGCCATCCCTGGCACAGGGTAGACATTCAATAAATAGCGCTGAATGCGCAAGTGTGCGTGTGAGTTCAGGGTTGGTATACATAGCAACATTTTAGCCAGGAGGCCTTCTTTTCATCGGACTTTTATTGAGATTCCTTCTCAGATGCTGGGGGCTTAATGCAGCAGACAGAACAGAAAGCCCTCTGGTGGCATCTTTGGTACCTCCTAGTTCTAGTTATGAACATCAGATGCCTTGGTGTGGGGTGTGTTGCTGCGAGGGAACAGGAGAGTGGACTGTGTGCGTGGGCACAGCCCTTGGTGAGCGCGTCCCTTCACTGTCAGCCTGTTGTGTCAGCTCTCACAGAGAGAGGCCCTAACACTGGCTGTTGGAGGTTCCAATTAGCTGGCTATGAGTCAGAATTCAGATTAACTAAATTAGATAACTAGTCTTAAATATGAGCTATGGATATTAGTTTAATTTTTACTTAGATATTATTTAAAAATGACAATCTTAAGTATTTTTTTCAAAACCATTTTTTTCTTCTAACTTTGAGAAGAAGGTTTTTGAGCTAATAAATTCTGACTTGCAAATGTCATGAAGTTTCAGTTGTATTTTCACATTATTAATTGCAGAAATCACCATCTTTGCATTGTCTCAATTCATTTATATTTTGAAGGACTTAAACTGTTGTTTTAGTTCTTTTGAATTTAAAGAATAGAAACTAAAGTCTTAGCATTCTGGTTTTAGGTATTGAGAGAAGGAAGGTAATGGAATTTGATCTCCTAATATCCTACTCTTTCTCTGCCCAAGCTGAAAATCAGCAGATTATCTCTAACAAAACATATCCCCAAACAGTTTCTAACTTATGTCAGTAAAAGAGTTAAATTATGATTTCTGCCAGTGACAAGAGTTGGCCTTCAGCTTCCCGAGTTTCTTCGGTCTGCCCTTGCGTCTGTGAAACCGCACCTGGGCTGTGGAATGATGTGGATTATATGCTGGCATCTCAGCAGCAGAATCCTCTGTTGCTTTCAATACCAGAGAAGGAGCCTATTTTCTGAGCCTGTTTCTGCCTTGTTCACAGGAAATGTGGTGTTTTCCTTAAACAAAGCGCTTCAGGGTGGGAGTAGACCGATTTGACTAAGTGGTCACTTGTCTGGTATTGAAACGGGGCCAGTGGCTATTTTCAGATGAGTCTGACTTACCCATGTTTTTTTTCTTTTTCTTTTTTTCTTTGCTTTTTTTTCATTTTCTCTTCCCTGTCCTGTTCCAGGCCTCGCTTAGGGACAGTCATGCACCGGGTGATCGGACTGGGGCTTCTCTACTTTATCTTCGCAGCTGTGGAAGGCGTGATGAGAGTCATCGGGGTAAAAACTACATGATTCACTGCCACCCCTTTTGTTTTTGCTATGACTTTATATCTCCTGAGATGAATTTTTAAAGATAGGAATTTTATGAAAAAGTCCCAGTTTGAGCTTTATTTCTTTTGGAATATTTTATATTTAATATTTCCTGGAGGTAAAAGGCGAGGCAGAGCACTTCCTAAAATGATGTGGTTGACTGTGAAGGCAGTGCTTGCTGTCAGCCCAGGAACTGGCTGCCTCTCAGAGGTGCTCATAGTCATTCCTGATGAAGAACTTTCATCTCTGTCATTGTCCAGTCTGTGTACATTTCTTCCTTATGCCTTGGCTCAAATGGATCAAGTTAGGAGAAAGTCAGTTGTACCCTTTGCTCATGGAGACATTATATTTCACTGTTAAGTCTCCTTTGGTTATATGTTTTCTCTGACTGTAGATGAACTATTTTGGGGATTCAGCAGAGCCCACTCTTTGAAGAGAGAGGAGCAGGTAGTGCTCAGAGGAAGGACTGGTGCTGTGGCAGCAACGCTTTCCTCTCGAGAGAAGTCAGATAGGTCTGTGAAGAACCTTAGATTTTTAGCTCACAGTTTTTCTTAATATGACTGACGACTAAGTGATTAAGAAACTTATTATTTTTTAAAGAACCTTGTAATTTTTGCTTGCAACATCTTGGCTTAGATGTAGATAGAAATCAGGTTATTGCACAGAGCGGTTCACTGTACATTGCTTGTGAGTTCAGGTCATGTGTTTGCCCTGAGCCTGGAAGCAGACACGCCTATAACGTTGACAGGCCTCATCCTTCTGCCCGAGGTCTTGATAGTCTGCATTCCGTTAGGTACACGGGCTGTTTGATCTCTGACTCTTAGAAGAGGTGTTTATTTTTACCTCTAACAATGAAGAACTCTGCATGTGTATGTCACTCACAGGAAACGAATCTCTACAGGAAAAACACACCAGAAGATAAATGTTCCACATGTGGATACAGTATATATGTTATATTTCCTTACAATTTTACATAGTCAGCACTATAGATAAGTGTTTTCCAGACACCTCTCTGTCAGCTCTTGATTAGAGCAAGCGGTTCGCCTTCGGTCAGCTTGTCCCTTCCACTTGGTCCCTCTTCCTATTTTACTCTTTCCCGCCTGTGTGCAGTAGGGAAGGGGAGGGCCTGTTTCCCTAGTAGCTGTGGCTGCAGGTGTGGTGTGGAGCGGGGAGGTTGGCCCGGTTGCCCTGGTGGGGCTGGGGATGTGCCACTCCATAGTTCAGTTGGACCTGGTCCCAAAACGAGTAGACAAAACAGATTGTTTCCATGTGCTTAGAGACAGTGTGTTGAGAAGTAACAGTCTTTTATGTGGCCTTTGTAAAGTGATGTGAGCTGAATTGTTTTTCTTCATCAGATAATTCCTGTAATATAATGAAACTTTTACTTTCAGGGTTTTCTTTCATTTTTATCTTTCAGGGTTATAACCACTTAGCTGTTATTTTTGGTGACATTATTTTAGCAGTTATCGACTCCATTTTTGTATGGTTCATATCCTTTACTATGTCTTTATAAAATAGTTTATTAGAGCATTAAAATCATACTACTTTTAATTTGTAATAATAATAGAAAGAAATATAGTTTTGCATTATTGTTACTTCAACATAGGAATTTAGTTGAAGGTGAAAAAGTTACAACTCCCCAAACAAGGAATATCTTTGTTTTTTTCTATTTAGTCCAGCAAATTTAAGTACTGACTGTGTGCCTCGTACTGAGGAGGCATGGAAGGAAAAGGTATTATCTCTGTGTCCAAGGAATCCGCGGTCTGGGAGAGGAGACAAACAGAACTACGAGGAACACAGCGATAGTCTTTGCCATTTTAGAGAAGAGTCATGCAGAGGAACGAGAATGGAACTCTAGCTTGAACTCAGGAGAGACATTATAGAGATAATGTTTAAATTGAGACTGGGAAGACAAGTAGAGGTTTAGAAAGAAGAGAATTGAGAATCAGGGAAGAGGCATTCTGGGAAGAATTGAGGGGAACACATAGTTGGAAGCATGAAATATAGGGACAGTGGCAGTGTCCCAGAGTAGCTGCCAGTAGGGGAACGTTGTGGTAGAACCATGGAAGGTGGGGCAGAGCGAGGGATAGAATGACATATGCTAGCGTTTAGGGTTCCTTCTGAAGGTAGAAGGTAGAGGGAATTGAAGCTGCACAGGTGAAGAGCATGAAATGTGTGTTAGAAAGAACTCAGGGATGACATAAAAAGATGACCTGGGGAAGGAGAGACTAGACATAGGAAGTCTAGTAAGAGGTTATTTGCAGTAGTCCAAGGAGAAGATGGTGAGGGTTAGAAATAGGGCAAGGGCTGTGAAGAAAAATTCCACAGGGACAGACTTGTTGTAAACGGTGGCAGAAGAAGGGGAGAAGGCTTCAGAGAAGCCCCACGGGTCTTGTTTGGGATGGTGACCTTGGAGAAGGGACCACAGTGGATGAGGTTTGAACTGCTCGCGAATTAGTATGAGCAGCGGAGTTGGAAATCCCAGCCTGAGTTTGCAAGAGGAGTCAAAACTGATGGGGATGGTGGGAGGTCATCTTTGTACAGGAGAAGGTTGCAGCCGTGGAAGTGGCCCAAGGAGAACATATAGATCAGCGAGAGGAGAGGAGCCAGGATGGCCTGGTGGGCAGGGTGGATTGTGCTGGGGAGGAGCACCAGGGCGAAGGGAGGTGGGAGAACCAGGAATTGTTAGGAAGTGGAGATCGGGAGAGCTTTGGTACGGACGGGTGGTCGGCAGTGGCCAGTGCTGCAGAGAGGAACTCCCAGGGCACTGGCTTCCGTCATGCAGGGGCCGCAATGGGACAGCAGGAGAGCAGGCCTGGCGTGGGGGCGGAAGGCATAATACAGCAGAAGTTTGAGGGCAGTGTGAGCTGATCCCTGAGGGCCCCCCTCCCTGATTCAGGACTCACTTGAGTCAGGTATCCCCAATGTGTTTTTCTGTCTGGTGGGGCCTTGCACACACACTCACGGAAGTGGGGGAGTGCTGGAGAGAATGGCCTGGTCAGAGCAGAGGCAGGGCTCTGCAGGTCCCAGCGCAGTATTTTCATTTCTCTTCTGCATTCATACTCTCTCTGAAACTCTTTTCTATAGGTAGGTTTTCTTCTTACCAAGTTCTTTTGTCTTTGATACTTGGATTTTAGCCTTTAATGTGAAATGTCCTTTTGTTTTTCTTGTATTTCTTTTCCTTTTCTTTGTGTCTCAGGAGGGCTGGAGGGCCTGACTGCCGGTGTCCCTTCTCCAGGGAAGCAGCTGTGCTAGTCCCTGTGGGTGGTTTCTTTCTAAGCCAGGTCTGCCTGTTTTTTAACCACCCTTTGTGAATTCTCAGTTTGCTTCTAAGTTATAACAGAACAAAACCTTTAAATTTATTATCCTCATTCTCTGAAGCAGTGTTCCTCCATCCTGCTTGGACCAGCTACCTTTGAAAGTGTAATGAGGCCTGGAGCCTCTGCAGGGTTATAGGTGTACTCCCCACCCACACAGGTGGATTGCCTACGGTGGGGCATGAAAAACCTTCCAAGTTATATTCATGGATCCCCTGGTGTCTAAGGGTGTCTAGTTAAGAAATAGTACTTGAGGTTTAAAGAGTTGTTTCTGAGCAAACCTGCTTGAAAATCATATTCTACTTCTGTCCAGACCTACTAGTGCAGAATCCAGGTTTATTGAATAAAAATATAGTTAAATGAGTGTAATCTCCTCAGAGAGTGCTATAAACATCTTACTCTAGTAAATTCCATATTTTCTGCATTAAAACGCATTTGAAGATGTTTGGTTGTTAGAAAGGTGACCTACGTTCCCCGGTTCTGCATGTTCCCTGTGTTCTGGCTGAGCTGAGCGGCACTGCCTGATGCTCACCCGGCCTCCGAGGGGAGCGGGAGTGCGAGCGCACCTGCAGGGGAGGCAGGACTGCAGCTCCCAGAGCTCTGACTCCACCTGGATTTGAATGAGGGTGACTTCTCGCCTTTATGGACAGCACTGGCTTTGGTCCATTCCAATGCAAGGAGCCAAATCGGGGTGGGGAGATAAGGAAAACAAGGTGAGAGATTAATAAGGAATAAGGTTATGAATATTTTTAATAAAAATGCTTGAGATAAAAATCATGAAGAAATCCATGGCGTTAGTGTTTCATGGAGAGGGAAGGAAATGCAGTATCCATTTCTGCTTGACCCTAGATTCCTGGTGCTCTCTTTTAGATCACTGTTTGGTAATTTTTACAACTGAAATGAAAAGCCTGCTTTGTCTGTACAAAAAGAGAGCGGGTTTCCTATATGATACAGATGACAAGCAGAGAAGCAGAACTGCCTAGAGAATGGAGGCTCGCATAGGACCCTTGCTTCCTTTGCTTTTGGTGAACTCATCGCAGATAATCCAGTACCAATCTGATTCTAAAGTAATAGCAGAAATTGCCTAAAAATTGAAAGCCACAGCTTTTCTCACAAATCGCCCTCCTGTTTTTTCTGCTTGTTTTATTTTTTTTGCTGTTTTGCTGCAGGCCAATGACTCTGATCTTGTGCTTCTGGCCAGCCTCCCTCTGTCTCTCCTTGACTCTGGCTTGTGCTGGTGGATATCCTTCCCTGTGGCAGCGGGGTCCTGTGGATGCTCCCTCGGGATGGTGGGCCGTCTGCTTTCCTAACACTCCCTCTAAAGTGAGGAACGCTTTAAGCTTTTCCTACATGAGCAATGTCTTGGTAAGTGCAGGCTTAGGCAGTTCTGAGTTTCTTAATCTTTTTATTCCTTGGCTTTTAACAAATACTTCTGAATTATTTAATGACACCAGATTTTTGACGTAGAAAATTGGTTTTAGTCAAGAATTTCTAAAAAGTATTTGTCTTGGTAATGTTTAAGGACTACAGCACATTTGCATTTTTGTAAATTCTGACAGTCTTAATTGGTGGGATTGTGTTATTTTAGACATGGATCTTTTGCAGTTTTTTGCTTATTTAGAAAAATTGAAAAGCAGCTTGGTAGTTTTAGCTGCTAAAAAGGAGTTTTTGATTAGTATTTGGAATTTAAAATAGGAGGCATAAATGGACAGTTTCCCACTTGCATTCTTTTGCTCAGCTCTGTAATTTCCATGTGTGGTTCATGAATGGCTGGTGCTGTGCTCAGAGGAGCACCTTCCATTTACAGTCAGAGCTCCGGCTGTATCCCAGCCTTGCTGCTGAGGAGCCTGCGGAGAAGCCCCTTCTGTCCTTCACAGCAGAAAGCGAACTTCACTGGAGCCTGTGCTCCTGGTGAACAGCTGTGGTGAGGAGAGCCTGCACCCCTTTACCTTCGGGGAAGGCGTACTACAGAGAACCCCCTTGTTGTAGACAGATGAGATCCCCCACGCCCCGTGGCTTACCTGTGATGAGGCCAGACTCAGACCTCTCTACCCACTGACCCATCCTGACACTAAGCCATCTCCTCTCCCAGGTTCCTGAGCTTTTGTCCACACAAGCCCTCTGTGAGGCCCCTCCTGGGAATCCGCAGACCTCAGGAAAGTCATTTCTGATCCACTTTCTCGTCATGCCACCCACTTGCCCACTACTGAGCTTTCTAGTCCTGTTTCCTCCTCCCTGTAAGAGCAAAGCCCCTTCCTGTGTGACCACTGGGACTTCTGAAGATCTTACAGTTGGAAAATTCTCCCTTTTGCAATCATCTTTTGAATGAAGTCTCTTTACCCTATGTCCAAATTTATTTTATTTGTCACATTTCAACTTTTAATTGATAAAATGGAACTGATGGATGATCTGATTTCTTAATTACTGTCACAGAATAGACTAGGAAAAAAGCAAAAATGGAAGGGGGGGA